GGTCTCGGTGGGGGCGTGGCCTGGCGCGGGTGTACGGGGGTCGCGCGGGAATAAAGCGCCGCTGGACACGRGCGGTGGGCGGAGCCTGAGGGGGCGCGGCTCGCGCGGCGCCGTTCATTGGCTGCGGTTTCGTCCAATGGGTGAGCGGGACGTTTTCGGGGTAGCGCCCCCTTGTGGCTGGGAGGACTTTGGGAGTCACCCCCGTCTCTCCCAGTTCATCCCAGTCCCTCCCATTCCCTCCAGTCCATTCCTCTGCCATCCCAGTTCATCCCAGTCCCCTCCAGTTCTGTCCCAGTTCATCCCTCTCCCATCCCAGTTCATCCCAGTCTGTCCCAGTTCTGTCCCAGTCGCTCCCAATTCCCGCCCAGTCCCGTCTTGGTCCTACCCACCCCCTTCCAGCTCCATCCCAGTTCCTTCCAGTGACCCCCAGTCCCCTCCCAGTTCATTCCAGTCCCTCCCAATCCCTTCCAGCTCCATCCCAGTTCCCCCCAATCCATCCCAGTGCCCCCCAGTCCATCCCAGTTCCCTCCCAGTCCATCCCACTCCCCCCAGTCCCCTCCCAATCCATCCCAATCCCCCCTCAGTCCTTCCCAATCCATCCCAATCCCCCCTCAGTCCTTCCCAATCCATCCCAGTTCCCTCCCAGTTCATCCCAGTCCCTTCCAGCTCCATCCCAGTTCCCCCCAATCCATCCCAGTCCATCCCTGTCCCTCCCAGTTCCGCCCCAATCCGTCCCAGTTCCCTCCCAGTGCCCCCCAGTCCATCCCAGCACACCCCACAAAGCCTTAAACCACTTTAATCACAAAAATAGACTCTGTGCGGCGGCTCCTATAAAAACGGGGGGAGGGGGTTTTTTGGGGTGGGGTGGGGGTGGGGCGGGCGCCCCCCGCCCGTGTCAGGAGCAGGATTTGGGGTCTCGGCAGGGCGGGGCCGCCCCGAAGAAGGCGGGTTCGGTCAGGGGGTGCAGCAGCAGCAGAAAACCCAAAACCCCCAAAAGGTACGCGGGGAGCAGCGCCCGGCGCCGAGGGTGCCCCAGGGCCGCCCCCAGAGCCGGGAACCCCATGGAGTTACAGAAGGAGTGGCACAGCACCGGCCCGGCCAGGTGACCTGGGGACAGGGGAAATTGGGGTGTTGGGAACCCCAAAACACACCCAAAATACACCAAAAATACACCTGGAACCCACCCGGGATCCCAAACCCTAAACCCAAAATCTGGGATCCCAAATCCCCCTGGAACCCCATGGAGTTACAGAAGGAGTGGCACAGCACCGGCCCGGCCAGGTGACCTGGGGACAGGGGAAATTGGGGTGGTGGGAACCCCAAAATACACCTGGAACCCATCAAACCCCGCCTGGGATCCCAAACCCTAAACCCCGGATCCCAAATCCTAAACACGGGATCCTAAATCCCCCTGGAACCCCATGGAGTTACAGAAGGAGTGGCACAGCACCGGCCCGGCCAGGTGACCTGGGGA